CCTCTTCCTTCACACAGATTCACAAAAATACATCTGTCAGGGATGCCTGTAGGTCTTCCAGTCCACTGCTCTGCCCAGCCAGTCCTGAGCAGTTCCCATCAGTTGTGTAGTCTGAGGAGGAGGTATATATCTCAGACCATAGATGTGAAAAATGCAGATGTTAAATCTAACAGTGTGGGTTGGCTTCACATCTCTGAAGGAAATAGGCACCTCCAGTGAGATTTGTCTGGCCTGTCTCACAGTCCCCAACATCAGATACCTGATGTTCACCAACACCAGAGCTAGAAAGCTTCAGCATCTGATATTAGCAGTCCTCAATCAACCCTTTCTGCTTTACCAAAACTCTGATCCCAGCCTAGATCCTTAACACAGCCTAGACCATAAGGCAACCCGGTGCTCCTGGACCAGTGTCAGTCCACAGGTCCCTGTCCCTTCCCAGCTCAGCTGGCCAGCCCAGTGCTACTCCCTCTAGTCTGGTCCACCACAATAACAGGCTGCTGGCATCTGTCATCTTCTGGTGAGATAAAGGTTCAAACAGAGCTAGCTGATTTTAGTAGGGACTAGTCAGCAAGAGAGGTCAGCTGGAGACCACCGTTCTAAGGGACTGAAATTGCTGCAAGGGTCTGTTGAGCTGATATGAAAAAATGAGCAATGTTTGTCTATGCCAGACTGATGCAATCCAGGAGAGAGAAGCACAGTGCTCTAACCTGTCAGCACAGACCAAAATACAACAGAGAATTGAGGTCTTCATTATTTCTCAACACAGGATTTGCAGAGCTGCTTCCAGTCCGGCTGATGAACGGTTCGAGCAACTGCTCTGGGAGAGTCGAGGTGTTTCATGAGCAGCAGTGGGGGACCGTCTGTGACGACAGCTGGGATTTAACAGATGCTCAAGTGGTGTGCAGGCAGCTGGGCTGTGGGACAGCAGTCTCAGCCCCTGGCTCTGCTCAGTTTGGACAAGGAACTGGTCAAATTTGGCTGGATGATGTGAACTGTGCAGGGGCTGAAACTATCCTCACCGAGTGCCGGGCACGGCCTTGGGGAGACCACAACTGTAACCACGGAGAGGATGCTGGTGTGGAGTGCTCAGGTACCACTAATGCATGTCATGAAATGTGGGGTACAAGGGATGGCCTGTATTTGTAGGAAGGGCGCCAGTGACCCTGAACATCTCGTGGGGACTAGGGTGCTGCCAACTTTTTTGGCCAGTCCTGATGGCCAGGCTTGTAGAGGTTCATGAGTGGGGACTCAGCACTCTCAAATGCACTGTTTCCACCAGTGTTCTGTTCCCTCCTCCCCATTTCGGTGCTCTGCTGTTAGGGAAGTAGCCTGGGTGCTCATCTATGATCACTCTGCAGGTGATGATTTATTGCAAAAGCTCCAGACAAGGATGTGGGATCAAGCTGTGGGGCCATAGACATTTAGTGCCACTTAACACATCATGGACCCAAGCCCTGTTGGCTTCCAGACCTCTGTGAGGAGGGTTTTTTGCCCTCTCCACAGACCTCTGACACACGCAAAGCTCCTCGAACACTTTGCCATTGTGTTTTGGTCCAGGTGTTGCGGAACCAGCTCCTGTCCGGCTCGTGAACGGTCCAAATCGTTGTGCTGGGAGAGTCGAGGTGTTTCATGAGCAGCAGTGGGGAACCGTGTGTGATGACGGCTGGGACACAGCTGAAGCCAGTGTTGTGTGCAGGCAGCTGGGCTGCGGGGCAGCGCTGTCAGCCCCGGGTTCAGCTCATTTTGGGCAAGGTTCTGACCCCATCTGGCTGGACGATGTGAATTGCTTAGGGAATGAAGCTGCCCTCTCTGAGTGTAGGGCCCAGTCTTGGGGGTCCCATAACTGCAAGCATGGAGAAGATGCTGGTGTGGTGTGCTCAGGTAACCCCTCTCTGTGTCTGTCTGTCTGATGGGGAAGGATTTCTCTTTCCAAGAGCGGTATTCATGTACCACCTCAGCAGCAGGATCTATCTTGAAGTGTCCTGAATCTGGACTGTGAGCTCTCTTTCATCATAGTGGAGACCTGTTACAAATTTCTCTCTTTTTTTGGCATGCGTGTAGCTGTTTCTGCAAACAGAAGCTGCGTGCTTTCCTTGGCTTGGATTTCTAACATATTCTGCTGAATATAGTATGCTATCTATTGTCCACTTATCTCTGAATACAAGAACTGGGAAAGATATCCCAACATTATGCAACTGGATAAATGCATCCTGGATGTCATTAGGCTCACATACATTTTATCTTATTTTTAATCACGCAGATGGCAACTTAATGTATATCCCTGCCCTTGTTTTTTTCTTCAGATATACCAAGAATAGCTCCACTGCGGTTAATGAATGGACCAAATCGCTGCAGTGGAAGAGTTGAAGTTTTTTATGGCCAGCAGTGGGGAATGGTATGTGATGACAGTTGGGATATGAGCGATGCTGAAGTTGTTTGCCGACAGCTGGGCTGTGGGAGAGCGCTATCTGCTCCAAGCTCTGCTTATTTTGGAGAAGGATCTGGTCCTATCTGGTTGGATGATGTGAACTGCACAGGGACTGAAACTGCCCTCTCCAAATGTGAGACCACTCTATGGGGAGTCCATAACTGTAGGCATGGAGAAGATGCTGGTGTTGTGTGCTTGGGTAAGTCTCATCTGTGCCACCAACTGCTTGACTTTTGGGGTATGTGGAGGGATGTTTGAAATGCCATAGGGTACCCTCTTCCTGTCTTATGGCTCTAAAACCATAGTACTGTACAGAGAAAGTGCTTCAAAGAGGGATGTGGGTAAATCATCTGCGTTCCCCTCTCCTTCCCATTCAAAAGCTAATCATTACACTGTGATGCTGCAGTCCAGCCTGCTGCTAGCTGTGCAGAAGAATTTAAATTTGGGACTCGTTCCCACGTCAGTTACCAGTAAATCTGGTGGCATTGCAGGACTGGTGTGATTCACCCTGTTATAGAGGGTGTAGAGTCACTTGGACTCTTCTACTGCCGCCAGTGACAACCCCAGTGAACATACCACATTTGAAAAATCAAGATACACCCTCCATTTTTCTCTCTTTTCTCTTCCAGACAAGAATATTAAAAAAACTTGTGGAAATCCACTTAACCTACCTCTTCTCTTCCCTCACTTGGTAGAACCATCTTCATGAGACCTGTTTTCACCAATGTTTTTCCAGTGTCTGCTCTGAAACCTCCACAGTTGAGACAAATTTCCTCAAAGTGTTGCAACACTGCACTTTGTTGCCACTAGAAGGAAAACCTGAGCTCACTATCATTACCTGGAATTTATTCTACAGCCTCTTGTCTCTTTGCAGTGCACATTACTACAATTTATTCTTTGCATCTACCATACTGTTATGTCCCTTTTCCGTTTCCTCAGCCTCTTCCCATTTCCCTCTTGAGACACATTTTTAAGTCATTCTTCTCTGGTTTCTCCTTAACTGTTGGGCATATTTCTTTTAGTCTGTTATGCCAGCTGAGGCTTTGCCAGTGCTGAGTAGCTCTGAAGGCTTGGTTTGCATAACTTGTAGTCAGCACTCCCATTTATACGTCTGTGCCTTTCTCAGAAAAGCATGACACTATAGAGTGTCACTCTCAATCCTTTATATCCCTTAGATCCCTTTGTGAAGACTTGTCACTTAATTCATTCTTCTTCATCCTCTATATGATCATTTTACTGCTGTTGCAGATGAGTGGAATGCACCTCACTCAAAAGAGAGAAGAAGCAATGTGTTTTATTGAGGTAAAATAATAATATGACAGAGTTCAATAAGTTTGATGGCATTTAACAAAGTTTAACAGTGATTTGACAAGGTTCAGTAAGTTTGATGGCAAGGTTCACCTTATTAATTACTGCATGGAAGAAACATACAAAGGAAAATTGAGTTAGAATTGAGTTAGAATGATTCACACAGAGACTGGAGATGCAAAGAGTAAGAAGGACTCTCCTGTTGAGTCATGAGGTTCAGAGTGGACCCCCTTGCTTTCTAAATTCTGTATGGTCCCTAGGTGTGGCTAGGTCCAATCTTAGTCTCAGACTTGTACAATGGTTTCTGTCTAATGGAATTATCCATACAATGTTTATAATAATATTGAGTAGTTACATGGATTAGTAATGTTTCATTAGTATTAATTCAGCATGCTATCCGTCACTTACCAAGGATCTGTCACAGGTAAGGGATCTCCCCGCCTTGGGTAAGGAAGGATCTCTTAATCTCAGGTAAGGAATCTCTAACCTTGAGAGCGTCCCTGCTCAAGGGAAGAGTCACCTGGCATGCAGTTCAGCTGCAATTCTGGGAAAGCTCAAATTGGGCCCATCCTGATGGTAATATTTGTAGAGTGAAGTAGTTGGCTGCTAGTCAATAGTATAGACAAGATAGATATCTTCATTTTAGCTCTGGTATCCTGTTCTGTACTTTGAATGTCTTGCATTTTGGGGTTTCAAAACCACCTTTCAAAATATTTTTCAAGGCACCTTCACTCCCTTGTACGTGAGCCAGGGGCTTTACAGCTCGCTGGTTCACCACAAGGACAAGGCCTACTGTTCCTTAGTCAGCCTGAACCGAAGTACAGCTAAGAGTCAAGTGTATCCATCACAGCCTCCCAGAAGTAGTGAACTTTTGCCTTGCAGGAGATAAACTGTTTTCCTCTGGTTACTTGCCCACATCTTGAAAACACCCTGTGGATTCACTGACTAAACACAGATGCCTGTCTCTGAATTAAACATCCTGCTGTCCCTTTGCAGCCAGTGAAGACTGAGTCAGTGCAGTCAATGGCAGGATTTGGCCCATCCTGATGCAGACGCCCAAAGCAGATTAAAGAAGTTGCAACCCAACAGTGCTCATTTCCTTCCATTGACTATAAAGGGTACCAAGGGTCCTCAGCAGGGTTGTAGAAGTGAGGTTCAGTTGCCTAAACATAGGTGTCTAGTGTCATCTGAGATGTCCCACTACATCCCTCCCAGTCTCTAATTGCAGACCCAGAAGGGCACCAATCTGCCTTGAGTCCTGCATCCAGTCTGCCAACCCCATTGGGATGTCTGTGATTCCCTGCGCATCTCAGATGGCACTAGGTACCAATGCTCAGGAAAGCCAGTCAGCTCCTGGAAGTTTATGCTTAACGGCTTCAAGTCTAGCAGAGATGAATCATACCCCAGTTTTCTCACTGTTCTCCTAAAGCGCTCTTTCTTGCTAAAGTCCTTTCCCTTGGTCAGTAAAGTTACCTGCATTTGCTGTCTGGGCACAGGTATCTTTCTAGTCAAAGACAGAGGGGGAAAGAAGTCCTCGGGTTTAGACATCACCTTTCCTTGACTTTTGGGAGAAAAGGAGGGAAAACAACCTCATTAAACTTTCTTTCTCCATGCCGCTTGTCCTTGTTGGTCGTACTAAGCCAACGGGTACACGCTGCGTTTGCTGACGTGGCTAGCA